GATCTCAGTAGCACTGGGAATCTACACAACTGATGTCATTGGGAGTTCTCCCATTGACTTCATAGGAAGCAGACTCAGGCCCTAAATACAGAATGACTGTATTGAGCCAAATTCACCCTGTGCTAGCCAAAGGGCAGGACAAGAGGCACTTGCGTGGAGAACTGCCCTAAATTGTACTGTCCAAGGCCCATATGAGCCTTGCAGCAGCTAAAGACAAGCCTGGCCACACTCCTTCCCATAACTCTGAATGCACCAACAGATTTCAGAATGCCCTCTCTACCAGCAAGCTCAATGCAACTGACAGCAGAATCTGGACCAATGAGCATTGCACCCATTTATGACAGGGCTAAATTTGCTCCAATCATTTCAGATGAGGCACAACCAAAAAGGGCAAATAAAATCCTAAATGTACAGAATCTAGTTCTCTGTAAATAGAGTTAGTGAAATGGTGTTTAAACAGTGGCTTCCACCAGTTCAGTAGTTTGACTTTCTTTAAAATTCAGCAGCAAATGTGTATTGCTTAATATTTTTTTAAATTTAATTTAAGTGATTTTAATAGATTATAAGTAGTTTAGGCCTTAACATAGATTGTCAATTTCAAATTGAATTTTAATTATTATGTTACCACCCAAATGTCCCAGTGGAGCCCAATTGTGCTTGATGATATATAGATATACAAAAGACAATCTCTGCCCATCTTAACCCATCACCTCCTTCCTCCAGATTTAGCATGGTTCCTAGCACACTGTTGATAAAATAATGTTCAAAGTTTGCAGGTCAGCTGAGAAGATGAGGTTTCTTCTTTCCCCGCTTGACAAACTAGAATTTCACTGATGAGGTTTATCGCTAAGTCAGTTAAAATGGAAGAAAACTCTGCAAGGGTAATGATAGAATCTCACACTTATCACCTAAAAACATTTCTAATCCATGAAGTTTATGAAGATACATGAACTGATTAAAACTCAGGAACTATGGATATTTCTATACTGCAATTAAATACACACATGTGAAACACACATACCTGGCCCATATCACCTGACAAGGCTTGGTGTAGAGGTAATGAGGTCTCAAGCTAATGAATGATTTAATTGTGGTGTAAACATTCTAGTTAAACAGCTCTTTGGCCCAAATCCTGTGAGCCTAAGTCAGTTTACATAGGCCAGCCATAGATTTTTACTTGTAATGTACATGTATTCTCTGGAACCAACCCAATGCCAACTGAAGTCCATTGATCTAGGTGTTGGATCAGACCTCAGAGACACAAGCATCAGGAGATATGCAATGCTATCAGCTGAGGAGCCAACTTTATATTTCTAAAATCACTGATCCAAGTGATATCAGTGGTTGCATCTGTAGTTAGACAGACTTTAACAATAGTTCCACTCTCAAATCGGAGAACTGCCCATGCATTTTAATGTTTTAGCGTTCCACTGTTTGGTGGGTTCTGTCAACACTCACCCAGGACGACGGTGTGTGTGGTAGCCCTTGTTGCCATCAACCCTGAGGTGGTATTGGCAAAGCCACATACATAGAGTCTTATTTGCTTGGGTAAATGGGGGCTGAGTCATGGGCAGGCCCTAGCACATTTGACAGAGAATGGTGAGCTGAGGCTCAGCCGGTCCAAACAAACATGTCGGTGGGACCCCACCAACCTACTAGATGTCTTTTATGTGGATGAACCATGGCAGTGCACACTGGATCCCATGAAGCACATGTCATGGGCTGGAATGATTTGGTTCAGCCCTGGTTTGGACAGTCCCTTTAGAATGATGCTTCTCCAGTCCCTTCCCCCAATTCTTACGCCCTTGATATATTGCCTTTATCTTAGACTCTACATATCTAGCCAAATGTGTCTAAATCCGTAATGTCCAACCAGTTCTCTAGTGGCGATAGCAAACTAGCCCCCACAACCCACCAAATAGCCACATTGTTCAAGCCAACTAGCCACACTCAACCAGCCAGATTCCCACATGTGGCTAATGGCTAACGTGTTGGACATCACGGATCTAAATCTTTAGAAGGGGAAAACTAATGTCAAATATTCCACAACAAACAGAGAAAGTACACCATTATAGATTCTCGCCACTTGTGTGTGGCATTAGAGGGTTCCCAGAGAAGCATAGCCCACAACCACAAGCAAGAGCATAGGTGGGAAACTCTGGCCCAAACTGTGTGGCTCTTATAACACTAGTGAAGACAGTCTACACTTCTACTAACTTTTCAGGTTGCCTCACTGCTTTCCTATGAAACTTATGGACCTTTTATCTAAGACCTTATCCTTCATGGATGGGGAAGCCTTAGTCTACAGCTGATTGAATGGACCTGAAAACGTATGTGTGACAAAATGTTTTGCTGCCATGGAGGGACTCTGAGCAAGAGGATCACGCTGCACAGCTTCACCCTGATCCACAGGGCTTCTGTCCTTTGCTACATTCTGCATCACACGTAAATGGGAGCCCAGTTCACAGAAATCCAACTCTACTGACAGCTTGCTAGATCACAGCTGCTGAGGAAAGAGCTAAAACATAAATGAAAAAAGGATTATTGTGTCTAACACAAGGAAGAACAGCTCAAGAACAGTTTATCTTTGTAAAAGTACAACCCCATACCACTGCCAAAGTCAGCAAGATTAAGGATGACCTGATAAGTAGGTGTTAGCTGTGGAAGTAAATGTCTGGGGCATATTTAGCTTAATACTGAACCAAGTCTTTCCAAGATTTTAAAAACAAAAACAAAGATACTTGTATAATTTGCTTATTTTTGAACTATTCCCAATCTTCCCTTTCAATATTCTACCAATTTGGAGACGTAAACCCTAGTAATCATTGAATTGAAGTATTACACAGCACCAGTTATTGTTTCCCAACATTTAAAAATCCCAAATACTTGGAATGAAGGCATAAATATTTACAAAGTCTCAAGTTAATTATAAGTCAGTAAAGCTATGGGGATTTTTCAAGTATTAATACTTAGACCAGAAAAGAATTAGACCTCAGACATATAAACAATATCAGTACATTACAACTTTAAAAGCCCTAGTGAGAAAGAATTCCATGTGTTGCTTTATCACTAGAGCCCTATGCAGATACAAAATTGGTATCCACAAAAAGAAACTGTGAATATCCACAACAACATCCGTAGATGCAGATACCCACAGATATAAAGTGGATATCCAGAAGTTTGCAGGGTTCTAGATACAAAATTTGTATCCACATCCACAAAAATAAGCTGCAGATATCCACATCCACATCCACATCTGGGGATGTGGATATAAAGCAGATATCCACAGATTTGCAGGGTTCTATTTATCACTAACCTTTCAACAGGATCTCTCAACATGATGATGAGTTTGGCATGGGGTTGAAAAGCATGGATGAAATCCTGGATTAAAAATGGAGGTTCTCCATCAGTACTGTTGTCATAAAAGAAAACCCAGGCATTGTTATCCCACATTGTAGATGCACTGGCCTCTCCTAGAAACGAAAAGCATTTACAATGAGTATCTGTGATTAAATTTATTTCTTTATATCAGCACAAAGGATATAGGTCTTGAACCTCAACTGGTGTCACTCCATTGACTTTGATGGATTTATTTACACTGGCTGAAGATCTGGCCCACGCTTCTGCAGAATCAGGAAGCAATTCCTGTTTAAATGTAGTTATAATTAAAGCCACGTGTATGTAATTACACAAATTATCAATGTCATTATGCTGTATTTCTCAAAATGGTTCATATGCAAATATATTTAACTTTAATAGGGTGTGACCAATTATATAATGCACAGAATTTGTATTCTAGTGGTAGCAAAGTTATTTCGTACCATCCAGACAGGAAGAACTTATATCCCATCAAGATTTTCAGTTCTATTTGACCTTTAAAGAGCTTTCGGTTACTCTGAACACTTCACTAAATGCAAGCTCTAGTGCAGGGCTATTCAACATGTGGCCCATGGGCTGCATGCGGCCTGTTTGTTTGCGGCCCGCGGGTGGGAGCCAAAACAAAAAAAATAGTCAATATAATGGTCTTCTGTTGATATGCGTTTTAGTAGTTAAATTCCTGGACTGTCATTGCTCATTAAAAGTGCTGTTATATGGCTGAAAATCGGGTAAATATTGTATTTTATTAATATCATAAGAACTGACTTAAATGGGGCTTGTGTTGTATAGTCTTGCCTTAATCTTTGTGTTCAAGCCCGTCAGTGTGAAAGAAGCTATTTGCATATATTTCCATGTATATTTGCCTGTATATGCAACCACACTTCAGTTGCAGCCCTCGGCATGTGCTGTGAGTATCATTGTGGACCCTGGGGCTTCCAAAGTCGAGTAGCCCTGCTCTAGTGAATGGCAGTGTTTGAAATTGGCCAGCCTGACAAAAAATGTAAAGAACCACTCTAGACAATCAGTGTTGCTTAGAACATGAACTGAGGATTTTAGAGATACAGAGGCAACGTGGGAATAAAAGCACCAGCCAGCTTGGGTGTGTTACACTGTATTGAATCTTTTCTTTTTCTCAGTTATTATGAGTTATTATCCAAGCTTTATTATACACTGTACAATGGCACCATGTCCCACAGTCTCAAGTACAGATATGCAGTTAATTGGAAGATAAAATGAACTGATTTCACAATGAATAGTAATATAAAGACCAGCTTCTGGTATCTTTAGGTCAAGAAGAACTCTACTCTGGAAGCAGTGTCATTTATTTCAACAGGATTACTCCTGGAGTAGGTTGCTACTCAGTAAATACACAGCTGATTAAAGGATATCGGAATCTAGATGCAGTATGTGGCAGTATGTGTCACTATCTTTTCTTCTGTTGAGTAACATTAACATTTATGAGAAAAAATTTGCTTGAACAAAATATGATTTAGCCTTTTGCAGTGTGGGAGGCACTAATTTCTGTTACTGAGTTTTTGAACCAAAAAGGACAAGAAAAAAAAATCTCATAACTGATAGTTCTGTGATTTACTCATGACATGTACATATATGCAAATATGTTCTTATATCATTTTTGCCTCCTCCTCATTGTATTTGAAACCTAATTTTGGAAAAAATCCAATAAAGTTTTTAATTTTAAATAAAAAATTGCCAAAGCCTTCATACTAAATAAGCATTTATTAATTCCTTCAGGTTCCACTTTTACTCATTGGCTGTGTCTACACTGGGCCACTTATTCCAGAAAATCAGCTGCTTTTCCGGAATAAGCTGTGAGCTGTCTACACTGGCCCTTGAATTTCCGGAAAAGCAACGATGCTCTACTGTAAAAAATCAGCTGCTATTCCGGAAAAACTATTCTGCTCCCGCTCGGGCATAAGTCCTTATTAAAGAACACTGTTCCGGAAAAGGGCCAGTGTAGACAGCCCAGTAGTCTTTTCAGGAAAAAAGCCCCGATCGCGAAAATGGTGATCGGGGCTCTTTTCCGGAAAAGTGCGTCTACATTGGCCACAGATGCTTTTTCGGAAAAAGGGCTTTTCCGGAAAAGCAGCCTGCCAATGTAGACGCTCCTTTTCCGGAAAAACTGAAAACGGAATAGTATTCCGTTTTTTTTCAGGAGGGAAGTGTAGATGGCGCCTTTTTGTGCAATAGTATTTTACTAAAAGCACCTGGAAGCCATTAGAAAACACTGTTGTTTACGGATATTCTCATTGCCACTGTTTTGAAATGAGAAATTGAGGCTCTGCAGTCTAAGACTATGTCTACACTGCGCTGGTTTTGCGCAAGAAATATGCAAACGAGGCTAAGCATGGAATATCACCGATCCTCATTTGCATAATTAATGAGCAGCCACTTTTTGTGCAAGAGGCTTTTGCGCAAAAAGGAGCCGTCTACACAGCTCCTCGCACAAAAACTCTATCTTGTGCAAGAGCCGTTCTTCCGCATTTTTTCAGGAGGAACAGCTTTTGCACAAGAGGGGGTTTTTACGCAGGAAGGAGCCGTGTAGATGGCGCCTTTTTGTGCAAAAGCCTCTTGCACAAAAAGTGGCTGCTCATTAATTATGCAAATGAGACTTGGCGATATTCCACGCTTAGCCTTATTTGCATCTTTCTTGCGCAAAACCAGCGCAGTGTAGACGTAGCCTAAGACTGGATGTCCAGAGGATCTTTGGTTTCTCAATCCAAATCAATTATAAACACCATTGCATGAGTTTGAACAGATCACGTGCCATATTAGTTCACCAGCAGGACAAAATTAAACTGCAAAAGATTAAATTCAGCATTGGAGCAAACTTTCCACACCAAAACAGGAGAGTCATATTTGCACTACCATATGAGTTCTCTGATAGTTGATTGACACCACTCTACTAAAGTGTATGGAATTACATAGATTTATACAGAGAATGTGCTCAACAGCCTAAAGCCAAAATAAGAGTTGTGTTAGGCCACAGATGCATTGGGTTGTCCTGTTGTATGAGAAGAGGGTAGGAATCTAGACAGAGTGAAGGCTTCATCTACCTATTGCAGAGAGCTGTTTGAGAGCCAAGCAGCTGTTCAGGGCATAAGTCCATATATTCATGAATCTACCCATGAAGGAAGCAGTGTACAACAGCTATAACAACTATATTAACTGCTACAGAAAGTCTCTGCAAATAATCTGTAGGCTTTCATCTATTTAGCCAGCCAGCTAGCTATCCTTCAGGCTATAGCTGCCAACCCTCTAGGATAGGCCTGGAGCAACAACGGGCAAATACCAGCCACCGCCACTATATTTACCTGAATCTCCACAGGCAAAGGCCCCTGTAGCTATTGTTGACCACTTATCACTATTTCCAGCTAATGGGAGCTGCTGGAAGCAATATCCCGGTTCACGCCACTTCTGCTGATCCCATTGGCTAGGAATAATGTATCTGCAGCCAATGGGAGCTGCAAGCACCTGTACTTGTGAAGGTGCAGGTAAAAAATAGTGGGGGCAGCCCATCAGGGGCTAACTATGGCAAACAGCCACCATCGAATTGCTCACCCCTGGCCTGAAGTCTCCAGGAATTAAAGATTCATCTTTTATTAAAGATTATGTCATTGTAATTAATTCTCCAGCCAAAATTGGCAAGCTCTGATTAGCATAGTGTCTGAACAATTAAGATAGTCTTTCTTGCCGTCACTCCTTTGGAACTCTTCTGAACACAATTCATGTGGAATCAGATTCTACCACCTTTAGCTATTGAAAGAAGGAGTGTAGCCCTTTCTCTGGCTATAGATTTGGCCCACGTAATATTTACTTTTGTATACATGTTCTCAGTTTACTAATTAAGCAGAGTGAACCTTAAGCTAAAGCTGCTACTTTTAGTATGGTCAATTCAGCATTGATTAGTATATAAATTCAGTATGGAAGCTGAACAGGAATACTGTGAGGAACTAAAAGGAAATTAATTCCTATGCATATGACAGTGTCTCTTTACACAGAATACAGATTTGATATCTGTAAAGAGTAGGGATATGAACATGTACCCATTTACACAATTAATCAATGAGCCTGAGCTCATCAGTTAATCCTAATGATTACACGCTGTCCCTGCCCCCGCTACATCTGAATCAGCGGCAGGAAAGGGGGCGGGGCGGAGGAAGGGAAACAGGGAGCGAGTGCGCATTGGGTGCTGGCTTTTAAGCCAGTTCCCCCTGAGCACCGGCTCCCATAGAGCTACCTCTCCCTCCACACACACACACTTCTGCCTCTGAAACAGAGACAACAGCAAGAGGAAAGAGGCAGGCTGGAGTCATTGCACATGGGGAGCCAACTTAAGCCAGCCCAGCTCCCATTATGTACCAACTCTCACAGCATCACCTGCCCCAGTCCCCGCCCCCGCCCCAGCCCAGCAACCTCTGCTCCGGCCTGGCCCCTGCATGTAAATATGTGACCACTGTAAATTTCAGTGGTTACACGTTTAGAAAAATAAACAGATTTTAACATCCCTAGTAATGAGGGTGCCCTATTCAACAAATGTTGAATTAATCACTGTTATATCTACTTCATTTTTATATGAAATTACCATAACACAATCAAAAATATACTAATTTTTCATATGGATTTAAAGCACATTTTGTATGATTAAACTGCCTACTTTCATTGAAGAATAAATTTACAAAGTCCTTATCCTGAGATTAATGGAATGAAACAATGTCATGTTATCATAAAACATTATTGTGAATTTATCATATTAATGATCATAAATAAGTCAGTCCTGCTTAGATTGCCTGAAGCTGGAACAGCAGTGTAAGCTCTTCTAAAGATCTATTGTTTTATTTGAGAAAATATATTACCTAATAAAGATATAATTCAAAGATGGTTAGAAATTGAAAATACTATTACATGATAAAGTTAAAGGAATGTTTATAGTTTTAATTAAATTTTCCTTTTTAATAATCTGAGTTTAACAATGCAGCATCTGAAGGAAACCTGATTTTCATATATCATGTAGACTGTCTCTAGACTAGATTGTTTTTTGTTAACTGAGGTCATAAAAAACTGTTTTAAATGAGCATAATAATTCAGAACTTTTCCTACAAATGTAATAAGAGCCAAAGTAACCTTAGCACTAAGGGAACCGAGACTACAGAAAAACATGAACTCTAGAAAAAACTGTAACGAGGTAAAAATACTCAAAAATGTACATGATAAATTTAAATGAGTGAATTGAATTTATCTAAGTGTTTCACCTGTGAACGTTTTGTAGCTTGTAATATAAATTACAGGAATATCTGCAGATGTCCTTGATGGCAGAGCTTCATAGGACCTAATACTGCAATCTTGCCAAGAACAGCACATCCATTTAAGAAAATGAAAGCTACCTGCCTCCTGAGGAAAACAAATAATGCTCCTACTTGTAGACAGGGGTATTAACTGACATCAACGGCCCTCTGTTATGATTAACTTACCCCAACACAACACCTTGATTAAGCTTATTTTACCATTACTATAAATGTTACAACAAATTTAGTACCATTGACATTTTCATAAGCAGTATTTGCAGTACCGATGATGATGTGGTTCAGCTTGTTGTGCCCTTTTGTTACATCATTCTGTAACACTCCCTGAATCTGATGTGCAGCCAAGTCAAACAGATCAAGGTAATCTTCCACTGGATAGCGATCATGAAATCCATCCCTCAGACGAATTATTCCTAAAAACAAAATCCTAATGAGTAAAAAAGAAGCTAGAAAAAAGAACTTAAGAGCCAGATCCACAGTGGAATAAATCAGCAACACTCCACTGACATCAATAAATCTACAACAGTTTACAGCTACAGAGGATTAAGCCAAGGAGCATAACATTAAGATAAAAAGCCAATTTTGAAGTAGTTGATATTCAGGATAGAATAGTAAGATTAAAATATTTGCTCTCAGCATAAATGTGTAAGTGCATGTGTTATAGACCCTGAATGACTAGCTTGGTATTTCATCTAAATTTAGCTTTTGAGATTAGCATAGAAGGTCAGATTCTGCTAATTTACACCATCATAAACTGGAATAATTTCATTTTGGATTTACACTGGTGGGTCTGAGAGCAAAATCTGGCCCTGAACCTGTCAATTACACCCATCCTTAACAAAACATTGACTGTCTTCCAAATTTGAGGTAAACAGTATCATTCTGTGATTCCTGGCTTTAACATCAATTTTACCTGAGGATGAATGGATTTCACAGACACTTTCAAACAAGACAGGTAAGGAAAATGAATAAAACATCTTCCCCTCAATTTTTTAATTCTTTCATTTCACCTACCAATGTAATAAACAGCAATAGTAAATTAAACTTATTACAAAATGATATCAAGACATAATTCCTATTTTATTATTTTGGGGCAGATCCAATTCCTGTGAAAGCCAACAGCAAAACACTGTAATCCCTATGCTACTTTTCCTTTGACATTTACCTTGCATCCTGAAGTGTTTCAGTTTTACTGGCTGTCAATCTTCATATCCAATATCAGCAATAACCCCTCACTCCCTTCCCTTTTTAGGGGCCCGCTCTCTCCACTTGTTCCTAATACAGGTTGGACTTCCCTAGTCATCACCCTTTCGACCTGACTGGTCCCAAAGGAGGGAATTTGCTGGTCCTGGGGAGGTCTGCCCATCTGCTGATGGACTCTGGGCTCTCCTGGGTCTGTCAGCAGATCACTAGGCTTCCCTGCCCCAAGCCATCAGGTTCCCAGCTCCCCAGCCATCCCTGGGCCACACTGCCCCAGGCTGCTGGGACTCTGGCCGAGGGACCTTCTGATACACAGCATCCATGGTCCAACAAAACCACACAAGAGAGCCCCAAATTAATGAAAGGGCTGGCCTAGGGACCTTCTGATACGCAGCATCCATGGTCCAACAAAACCACAGCTGTTGCTGGACAAGAGAGCCCCAAATTAATGAAAGGGAATGTGTTAGTGTAAGGAAATCTAGCATTACACTCCACCTCTGAATTTGGTTTTGTCTCCCCCAAATGTACTATTGTGGCTGATACAATCAGCTGAGATTCTTTTGTTGACAAACCCTACATTTAAACAACTGGGATATGTCTAGACTACATCCCTCTGTCACCAGAGGAATGTAAATTAGACATACCGAAATTGCTAATGCGCTTCATTAGAATAAAAATGCCTGCCACTTTTTGCCGATGCAGCACTTTGCTGGCAAAAAGTGGCAGTCTAGACAGGGATTGGTCGACAAGGAAAGCCTTTTCAGACCGATCTCTTATGCCTCGTGTAGTTTAGACATACCTCTGGAGATTAGAAGCAGACTATTCTCAGTAGAAGGTTCTAGAATCTGAATTTCACTTCCTGAATTGATCTGACAAAACTTGAGCCTATTAACCATCAGATTATTAAATAAGGCTTATCCTTTTTTTCCACGCTTTTTCCTGAGGGTCTGACTGTGAAGAATGAATTTGATTTTAATAGATTTTTAAGAGGAGAGAATGCATTATGATCATCATCTCTGACATCCTGCTTTGTACAGTCCATAGAATTTCATCCTGTGATTCCTGAAGTGGAAGGAATTGCTTCTTTTCTATTATGTTTGATTTGGTGGGGAGAAACCTATTTGAGAATGATGTTATACTTGTGCAATATTACATGATTCCTAAATTATGACTGTGCACTCAAAATGTCCAGCAGACAATTCCATAAAAAGTGCATTAAATTTATTACCTTACAAGAACTAAAGTGGAAAAGGAGTTCTCTTCTTTATTCATTTTGCTTGCCTATTTATGTGTGTTTGTGTGCATTCACACAGATATTTAAAATATGTTTGTAAGTACAGGCAGCAATATTACATGATTCCTAAATTATGACTGTGCACTCAAAATGTCCAGCAGACAATTCCATAAAAAGTGCATTAAATTTATTACCTTACAAGAACTAAAGTGGAAAAGGAGTTCTCTTCTTTATTCATTTTGCTTGCCTATTTATGTGTGTTTGTGTGCATTCACACAGATATTTAAAATATGTTTGTAAGTACAGGCAAGATAGGGACTGTAGGTTTGTTCTTAAGTTGAATCTGTATGTAAGTCGGAACTGGCATCCAGATTCAGCCGCTGCTGAAACTGATCAGTTTCAACAGCG